CAGTAAGATTTCCAACTTCACAAAAAGGCCAATTACTTTGAATTCACCAATATCAATACGATTTTTGAGAGCACCAAACCTAGACATCTGATGGGCACCTAAGCTATTAATATTAGAAAACATGAATTCCAGAGGAATATTTCCTAAATCAGGTCCTGGATTTACCTCAATGTCACCGCACATAGTCAATAATATAGTAATAGTATTAGGTATAAAGCACAAAAGGCAACTCAACCAAAATAAAAACAAAGATATATTACAAAAAGACTGCATTCTGTTGATTGAACTTTTGTCATCTTGGCACCTGAGGAATATAACTCCCAATAAGCATACAAACTAAAACAAGACAGTAGCAAATTAATGCAAATAAAATAGTTAGTAACACAACTGAGTTAAAGTTTGTATTGCATAAAAGTGTAAGTAGCAAAAGTGCCATGGCGAGAAGTCGAGATTTTTCAATATTATTGAAGTTAGATACTTCCGTGCACAAATAGACAAGTTTATTGCCAGCTCATCAATTGAAATGCCTTTACTACTTTTCAAGCATAATAAAACTTTAATATTGATTAAATGACATAGTGTTATATACCAAATTGTTCAAAAATGGATTACCTTTAAAATGATATATAAATCAATGTATCATATTGAACATAGCTATTTTCATTCTGATTTAAAGTTGGGTATTGTTTTTTTGGCCCACCCTGTATATATGTTTCCTTGAACAGACATATCGTTTTGAACATGTACTTCACCAATCTACCATCGGAATTGAGTGAATAACAATGTTGACTCATTTCTTACTCGACAAGTTCTAAGCTTTCCGAGTTGCCGTCGATTTACTCAAAAGCGCCCTGGACGAAAGTCAAAAAGATCGCGCATGCGCGAATGAGGTAGGGTAGTGTGAAAGAGGAGGAATCAAAACACAGAGGAGCAATTGGTTACAAAGGGAATGCCACACAGAGGAGAACCAAAAAATGTTATACCAGCCACCTAACAGAAGTCAAATAGTCTTTATTCATGTGATTGCATTAATACAATATAAAGCTAATTTAATATTTTTCAACCTTTGGGAAAACACCGTATATAAGGTATTTCATTGTTTGGCTTATCCCAAAGAGTTTACATAAACTTCATATAGTTTGCGAGGTGACATTTTATTGTATAATACACATTCCTTATATCATACATAAGTTCTCCTTATAGTATGTATAAGTTCCCCTTATATATGTATAAGTTCTCCTTATAGTATACAAAAGTTCTCCTTATGGTATATGTAAGCTCTGGAGTATACGTTAATCTTTTTATATGCTTCATTATATCATTATATATTCACTATATTACATATAACTTCAAGAGGAGAAATTATATTGTCTTCACCTCGCAAACGGTTCCGTGTAGCTTAGGCCATCAGAAGTATTCTTTGTTTTGCGTCCTGGCAAAATCCAAATCATGCAAGGGTACAGGGAAAACAAACACAAACTCAAGAAAAAACACAAACTTGTTTGCTGAGAAATGTATACACGTTATGGGAATAAAATGGGATGACATACTGATTTGCAGTGATTACGAACACATATCTGTATTGTTTATTATTATATAATAAACTATATTATTCAAGGGTACAAAATAATAAAATACATAATGTATGCCAAAGTAATCAACAATACTGTCAATTTTAACGCACATCAAATTATCCGCAGTTTCTTCTGATTTTGATCGAACGAAATGCGATGGTACTTTCAGACCCTTGTGATTGCTATTTGGATGTGTTTCTTCTGATTTACTCAAAATCGTGCAAGCAAGGGGAGGCAAAACAAAGAATCTACTTCTTATGGTTTTATGTCGTGGTGAATGTATTCCCTATGTCAGACATGTTTATTTTGTCGGTTATTTGTGTTTTCGAATACTGTACAACAAATTGTATTGATTTTAAACTTGCTGTTGTATAGTTCTTTGCCGATATAAAGCAATATAAACCTTCAGGACATACAGTATGACCTCAAGAAATGTTTAAAAAGATTGTGTACATTAAAACAATGATTTAAAAATATTTGATGAAGCATGTTGAGTGATGCCTTATTTCAATTGTCAAAACACAATGATATGACATATACTATTCCATTCAGGCAAGTATACATGTAGGTATAGGCATCAGCTTCAATCATAAGGCATAAAATAAGTTCAATTTTCAGATAATGTCATTTATAAGCTGTATTAAGCTTCGACAAGTTATAAGAATCTACTGGATATAGTATGTGGTAGAGAGCTTTCGATAAAAGTTGTTTGGAAAACGTATGCGTAAACCTGTACTTTAAAGGGTCTTGTCACACTAAAATCAATTTGAAATTGATTATTATGAATTGTGCCAGTTGATATAAATAGTTTCCGAATTCTAAACCTCATTCCTCAATCAGTGACTGCGAATACTAATATCTGTCGCATCGTTGTAATCTGTACACTAGAGTGGTTTCGGTTTTCAGCCGAACTTATACTGCAACGTTAACTTTTAAATGACGAAAACCCCAATGGATAGGAACATTTTTCGAAGACACGAGAAAAGTACTTTCCCTCGTTTCCTAATCGGGGGAATACATTTGTGAGTATCCAAGGATTACAGTATCAATTTCTAAGGTGTGGATATCAACGGTCATTTTTTTCAATTTCTAAGGTGCGGATATCAACTGTCATTTTTTAATTTGATTTCGTGATATTTCACCAGCTAATGCATTTTGGGTACGCAGTTATATTCATACATGTGTACAGGTTTCCTTATAAAAAGGAAATTGCGTAAATAGGCGTATCGTTCGTTCTATAGCAACACACCAAGCAATAATCTCTCCAAAGCAAATAATTTGAAATTGCAACCGTTTCTCAGTGTAAACAGCATTAATTCAATATTGGTGATCGAGATGACCTATCAATACAAATTTTATTTGCATGTTGAAATATTTCTGTGTGATTTTATACAAAGTGGGAAACATTGGATAAAAATGTGCTACCTCTAAACAAGCGGTGCGGATATCCATGGATATACGTTAAGTGACGATATCCACACCACCTTTTCAGAGGTAGCACATATCCGATAAATGTTTTCAATTTTTTCTAAAATTCACACACAAAGTTAATTACTTTCAACATGAAAAATCGATTGGTCATTTCGATCACCAATACTGAATGAAGGCTGTAGACTGTGTAATAAAGCAGCACTTTTAAATTCTTTGCTATAGAGCAAGAAGGAATGTTAGTGCGACGTTAAAGAATACAGAATATAACAAAAACTTTCCCTTTTATTAGGTACCTTTTACAATTGGATGTCTATAATTGAATAAGCAACATGCCTTAGTTTATGAAATGTCACAAATTCAAATTCAAAAATGACCGTTAATATCCGCACCTTGCGCACATGATATCCGCACCGCTTGTTTCGCATAGCACAATCTGTATAAAGTGATATAGTAGCATGTATGTAGAAAACTGCAATACATATATGCATTGTTTAATCACATCATTTAAGGTAACATTGCAGCTTGGGGATAGTGGGTACCCTTTGGATAACTAGACATAAGGTGACAAAGGTCATAAGTCAAAATGACAAAATCCAAGCTCAATGATTGACAGATTACACGGCGCTTTAAAGCGTCAGCAAAGCGCCGTCGGTGTGAACTTAGCTTTACAATTGAATATAGAATAGCATGTGTGTTGATAACTGTAATACATAAATACATGTTCAAATCAGGTCAATAAAGCTAAGTTCACACCAACGGCGCTTTGATGGCGCTTTAATGCGGCATGCAAAGCCAGTTTGCACGCCGCATCAAAGCGCCGTTGGTGTGAACTTAGCTTTAAGCTAACTTCACACCAACGGCACTTTGAAGCGCCATCAAAGCGCCGTCGGTGTGAACTTAGCTTTAGAATTGAATATTGAATAGCATGTGTGTTGATAACTGCAATACATATATACATGTTCAAATCAGGTCAATAAAGCTAAGTTCACACCAACGGCTCTTTGATGGCGCTTTAATGCGGCGTGCAAAACCGCTATGCACGCTGCATTAAATCGCCATCAAAGCGCCGTTGGTTTGAACTTAGCTTTAAGCTAACTTCACACCAATGGCGCTTTGAAGCGCCATCAAAGTGCCATCGGTGTGAACTTAGCTTTACAATTGAATATAGAATAGCATGTGTGTTGGTAACTGCAATGCATATTTTCATGTTCAAAGCAGGTCAATAAAGCTAGGTTCACACCAACGACGCTTTGATGGCGCTTTTATGCGGCGTGCAAAGGCGTTTTGCACGTCGCTTTAAAGCGCCATCAAAGCGCCGTTGGTGTGAACTTAGCTTTAAGGTTGCATGGCAATTTGAGAATATTATAAGATAAATTTTAATTGCAATGGATTAATAGATCTTTAGTCGTAATAGCAAAAAGCCCAAATCGAATTGCAGGGCTTAACATTATATTCTATGTTCCGTCTAATGGTAGTAAAATTTAGTTGATTTGGATGGATAGGATAAAGAACAATTATAGTCGACAATTTGTCATACCTCAGTTTGTGTCACTTTGGAAACTGTAGTGTGTTGCATTGAGCATTTTAAAGCAAGGGTTGTAGATAACATATTGTAGAGCCAACAAAAAGTTCTAAAACAATCCCAATGACCTTTTTAAGAACAACCATTCTTACTATTGAAAATGAATTCTAGCAATACTTTCCAACACGAATCTATTTCTTGAGACTCGATCAACTTGAGTTCTGAGAAAATGAGGATTTCAGCAAGGGTGCATTGACTTAACATGGGGATATACACATTTGACTAATGAGTAAGCCTTGGAATACCATGATATATATCACAATGGGGATAGATACAAAATCCTCATTTTCTCAGAAGAACTCAAGTTGATCGAGTCTCAACAAGTAGATTATGTGGGATAGTACATTGTATTGATTGAATCCATTTTCAATAGTAAGAATAGGCAGGGACATAAAGATTTTGAAAAAATTTGGTTACTCTGTCGGTGAATTGTCACTCTTCTCAATTTCGTGTTCTGTTATAACAACGTGCTGCTGCACGGAGTACCTGAATTTACAGGTAATACTTGATTCCAGCGTCACTGTCCCTTCACGGTCAACATTAGCGCGTTTCATAGCCACTGAGTAATCTTTGTTTGACTTGGCCCAGTTAATTATTCTATGAATTGGTGCTCGGCATAACGCAATCATGACATTGTTCTTTTTGTTACGAAATTTCGCCAATACTTCTCCCTTAAACCAAGACAATATTACAAAATCCGCTGTCAGTCGTTCGTCGCTTACAATCAACTTAGCAATGACACGTTTATCTGGTGGTACCGTGATTTTAGTGTTAATTCCCCATTGCATTTCATGTTGAACTGTTTCCCTTTCTTCGTTAATGATAGATATCTCTTCCTTAAACCCAGCCCCGGCTTCAACGATGTCCCCGGGTTTTAGTTTTATTCCAATCTTCCCTCCGATTGTGTGACCTTCATTAACCACGGTCTCGCAGACAGAGGTTGTGTTCCTTTGGGAACTTATGTTATACTCTTGGTTTCCCTTTGTAGAGTTCCTGAATTCAGTCTTATATAGAAGCAAATTTTTCTCTTGCGGATCATCACCTGTCAGGTCACTATCCTTATGCACAGATGTGGTAGGAGGGCTATTCTCTTTAGTGAGGTTTTTAAATACAAGTTCAACCTCGAATTGGTTTCGGTTATTTCTCAAGCCGCAAAAGGAACGGCTGTACCGAAACCTTTCAGTCCAGAAAAACTCCTCAATGCAGGAATCAAGGTCAATGATATCGCGTTTCTCTGGTTGTCCCTGTGCTGCGGCCATGGTAGATTGTGGCGATCTTTTATGCATGGTGCGTGGAATTAAGCTTTCTCCTGTAAAATATTAAATGAACTTATATAAACGAAAGGTTTTCTTGGATATTATTTGACATGTACTTAATCTAATAAAAGAATTAGTTACAATTCGCCTTTCCCTTCCACCTTATTTTCACGTTCAAAATAAATTTTGGCTATTTCACATAACTTTCAAACACCGTTTGAAAAATAAAATTCTGACGTATGATATTGATTTAGAACAAAAGCGCAATGAAAAATTCATCCTTATTTTGTAATTAAAAGAATTAAGTTTACCAAATTGTTAGCTCACTTAGATTTTAACATTTAGCTAGCCTTGCCTGAGACGGTATTTTCTTTGACTTATCTTGATCTTCAGTTATACCGCTTTATATCATCCAAATCGTCTCGGCTGATATTATAACCTATGCGATAACCATCGCGCATGCGCGAGCATTGGCCAATAGCGGTATAGTTCTAAACGATAACAAATCCGTGTGCTCGGGGGACACACAACTTATTAATCCTTCCGCCGAGTGGGAAGAATAGATGGCATTTTAATAACAAGAATATAGTCCAATTATTGTAATTATATTAGCATCACCAGTGGTTGGATTTTGGTAAGTACATGAATGAAAAAGTGTATGTACACTCCCCTCCATAAGTTTGGCAACCTTAGCTCCCCCATTGGATTACGTGTTAAAGCCTCTTTTCCTTTGAATTTTTATTTACTTAACCTAGGATGAAAATACTTATACTATTGATGGAAACGTAACTTGACATTATTTCCAATACCTCCAAATTTTCCCAATTTTTTCCTCAATTACAATAGGTCGAAAATTGATGATAAATTTGATGAAGTTTTGAAAATCGTCATTCCCATGTAATCAAATGGGAAATGGAGGGTTCGGGGCAAATCAGAAACCAGGATATCTTTTCAGTAAAAGATTCAGCAAAAAGTATTTTTTATATAGAAAATCGAATTGTCTTTTTGTACACTAAGTGTTTAGCTTATTTGATGAATACTAAAGTTACAGCGCTTCAAAGTCAATTTTATAAATAATTTTTCGCCTCCTGTGTTATTTCAATGGTAGAGGTTTTTAGAAAAACAATTTTGACTTTAAACCCCTATAACTTTGTTAAACCTGATAGTCCCTGATCTGGACCCTCTGAAAAAAGTTTTGTTGTCCGGTAGTTTCCCACATAAAATGATTGTACCGTTTGAAAGAACAGACTTCCCTCTTAAAGAAAACACCTCTTCTATTGATGTAAACCGGGGCAAAAGGCACCAAAACGGGGTTAGACAAGGTGGCATTCTGAAGTCTCACTTTCTTGTCATCACGATTCCAGGTAAACCATCAGACGGATTTCCTTCAAATTTTCACACATGTTACATGGTAAGAAGTTCTAGAGCTGATTAACTTTGCGGCGGCCATCTTGCATTCTGGCGGCCATCTTGGAATATTTTTCAGATAAATGTTGTCATCGCGATTCCACAAAAACCACATAACAGATGTACTTCAAATGTTCACACATGTTACATGGTAAAAAGTCCTAGACCTCATTATTTTTTCGGTGGCCATCTTGCATTCTGGCAGCCATCTTGGAAGTTTTAAGATAAACATGATAAATCTTGTCATCACGATTTCAGGAAATCCAAACAGATTTACTTCAAATTTCCACACATGCTACATGGTAAGAAAATATAGAGGTGAATAACTTTTCGGCAGCCATCTTGCATTCTGGCGGCCATCTTGGAAATTTTGGGATAAATCTTGTCATCGTGATTCCAGGAAAACAACAGATTAACTTCAAATTTTCACACATGTTACATGGTATGAAGTTCTAGAGCTGATTAACTTTTCAGTGGCCATCTTGCATTCTGGCGGCCATTTTTGAAGGTTTATAGATAAATCTTGTAATCACGATTCCAGAAAAACCACTTCACAGTTTTACTTCGAATTTTCACACATGTTACATGGTATGAAGTTCTAGAGCTGACTAACTTTTCGGTGGCCATGTTGTATTCCGTCGGCCATCTTGGAAGTTTTTAGATAAATCTTGTCATCACGATTCCATGAAAACCACGTAACAGTTTTACTTCAAATTTTTACACATGTCACATGGTAAGAAGATATAGAGCTGATTAACTTTCCGATAGCCATCTTGCATTCTGGCTGCCATCTTGGAAGTTTGTAGATAAATCTTGTCATCACGATTCCAGAAAAACCACTTTACAGATTTGCTTCAAATTTTCACACATGTTACATGTTAAGAAGTGCTACAACTGATCAACTTTTCAGTGGCTATCTTGCATTCTGGCAGCCATCTTGGAAGTTTTTAGATAAATCTTGTAATCCGATTCCAAGAAAACCACTCAACAGTTTTACTTCAAATTTTTACACATGTTACATGGTAAGAAGTTATAGAGCTTGTTAACTTTCTGGTCCTCTGGTCCTTTTCACACATGTAACATGGAATGAAGTTCTACAGCTGATCAACTTTTAAGTAGCCATTTTGCATTCTTGCAGCCATCTTGAACGATTTTAAATAAATCTTGTAATTGCGATTCCAGGAAAACCACTTAACTGATTTTTTGACATTTTTACACATGTTGCATGCTAAGAAGTTCTAGAACTGTTACAAAAACAAAGTAAACAAAGCACATGGTGAACAAGATCTGCCTAAAACGTAGCAGTATGGACTTGATGTCCCAGAAAGCAAGATGGCCGAAAAGTTAATCAGTTGAAGAACATCTTAGCATGTAAAGTGTAAAAATTTGAGGACAATCTGTTAAGTGGTTTTCTTGGAATCATGATGACAAGATTTATGTAAAACTTCTAAGATGGCCGCCAGAATGCAAGATGGCTGCCAAAAAGTTAAAATTTGAAATAAATATACTTTAGTAGTCATGTAAGGTTATGTAATACTTTATACAATTATGTAAGACAATGTAAACGAATTTATACTATTGTTAATTTGTGTAATATTATGTAATGTTAGGAAATTGATTATGTAATGTTTTTATGTAAAAATAATAAATCAAAATAGATGGCCACAGGATGGCTCTTGACACACCAAATTATACTTGTCAGTTTATTAATTCCCCGATAGAGCGGGCGGGAAGTATAAAAGTAATTTAAGGAATCTGCAAGTGGACCTTAAATGGATTTATACCGACTGGCCGGATATCCAATCATGTACTGGCTTTCACTTTCAGTTATACACGTGTGTCTCGAGTTACATCTTGGGTCTATCTACTACTTCCTAGCTAGACAGCATCCTTCATTCAGTTTCATGTTTCGAAACAGACAACATAAATAAGCATTGATTTGTTAAAAAATTATTGTTTCAACTTTACAAGCTATTCAGCATTGTTATATTAAGAAAATATTATATAACATAAGAAAGAACACTATTTATAACCCTCCTCCTTTCCCCGATTCTACCTCCAATAACACAAATGTATTATTGTTGAAATTCACGTTGTTTTAGTTTACAGACTGTAATTAACTATGTCACGTTTTTCGCAAACCTATTTGAGAAAGAGACTTTCACATAGCTGTCACCATGTGTTAGTAAGCTTGTACAGTCCTAACTAACCTTTTTATATTTTTTATTTTACATTAGGTTACGGCTTTTTAGCGTCCATTTCAAACATTATGTAAGGTTATGTAATACTTTATACAATTATGTAAGACAATGTAAACGAATTTATACTATTGTTAATTTGTGTAATATTATGTAATGTTAGGAAATTGATTATGTAATGTTTTATGTAAAAATAATAAATCAAAATAGATGGCCACAGGATGGCTCTTGACACACCAAATTATACTTGTCAGTTTATTAATTCCCCGATAGAGCGGGCGGGAAGTATAAATAATGTTAGGGAGGATGAGTTGTAAGGCATACTATGTCATGTTAGATCATGATCTATACTATTTTTATTTCAATTTACCAGTTACACTTTCTCCATGCTAGGTTCTGTTATAACTTTTCTTCCATTTTCTATGGCATCCGTGCTTTATACATTTACATTCACAATGGTCCCTTCCTGGTATATTTTTTTAGGTTTTATGACTGTTAAATTCTATAGTCTTGTTAAGACCACTTTATAAACAGGTTTATTATTACTTTTATGACTGTTAAATTATATAATCTAGTTAACACCACTTTATAAACAGGTTTATTATTACTGGTGTAACTAACACAAGGAAAAAAAATATAATTAATTTATTTGATTTTATATAACATGAAATTATTTTTTCTTTTCGATAAAACATTGCTTATTAGAAATATATTTAGTTGAAAACTTAGAGTAAACAATCAGTTCTTCTATCACAAAGTTTATTTTGGTTCAGTAGATTTTCCTATACATTATTTTTATGTCACCACCACTAGTGATTGGGTGACATATTGTAATAGCTTCGAACGTTTATCTTGACACTGTTCAGTAGTTAATGTGTACTGTATACTTAACAAGGTGTGGTGACATTTTGCATGTTTCTGCATCGTCACTACTATTGAAAGCTTATGTTGATATTGTAGCAGTGTTTTTTAAGTTCTTTTTGTTGGCACAATTAGTGTCCAAACCCTCTACTTATATCGATCTGACACACAGTTTTAGTGCAGGTTTAAGTGATTTTTGTTGATTATTAAACGCGAAGAGCACAAGTGTCTCGAACTCGCAACATTGTGGATACATAGCCCATTCACATAGTTTGACATACTGGTGCTCTGAACCAGCTCGTTAGTTAATATCTGACTAAGAGACAGCTTGCTTTCCCGATGAAGAAACTTATCTGCAGCTTTTATGAGTACTATAGTATCTACAACTATTTTTGATCTTATGAGTATTTGATATCATTATTTTCAATTTTTCTTCAACATGTATTTTAATGACCTCAGTATGAATGGAATGTCCCTCGGAGTTGTGGTCGTTGATGAGGAACTGTCATTGAACGGTGTGGATGCTGTTTATTCCCATATTATTAGATTATTGTCTTGGGATATTCAGGTTTGAGTTTTGTTTGCCAGTTTTACACTTTACAGTTTGCTTTTCCCACTAGGTTGCTTTACACTTTTTTCCTTTCTCATTTGTCATTTTTGTTTATATTTAGTAAGGATATGATACGCAGGTCTCTCCTTCTGTGTGATCACCTGTCCAGAAGATAATTCAA